CTGGCGGACAAAGACTAACCCTTGGGCACTTCTGAGGGCCCGTACTGGCTTCTGAAGGCCCGATGCCGGTCTCTTAGGGCCAACATTGGCCTCTGAGGGCCCATCCTGGCTTTTGACTTTTAGGGCCCCATACTGACCTCTGAGGGCTCCACGTTGGCCTGTAAAAATCACACTGGCCTCTGAGGACCCACGTCGGCCTCTGATGGTTCCAAACTGACCTTTGAAGGCCCTGTACTGGTCTCAGAGCCCAGAGGGCCCTAAACTGGCTTCTGAGGGTCCCAAACTGGCCTCTGAGGCCCCCAAACCGGCCTCTAAATGTCTCACACCGGCTGTTGATAACCCCATTTCTGTCACTGACACCCAAGGCTGGCCCTTGTCCCTTGGGTGCCTCCGAGGGCCCCGTACTGGCTTCTGAAGGCTCTATGCCGGCCTCTGAGGACCCATGACGGTCTTTAGGGGCCCTGTGGTAGTGTGTTCCTCGATTGTCTCCCTGGAGCCGCCTCTGCGATGACTTGCCAGCCGGCGCATGGGCCGACGGCTGGGGTCAGCGGGCGCGGTTGGAATGTGGACCAGTCTTGTTCGAGACACCATGCAAGCGGGAGCCCTACTGTCGCTTATAACAGGCCCCACACTGGACTCTGAGGGCCCCAAACTGGCCTCAAGGGGCCCCAGCCGGTCTATGGGGTCTCTACACCGCCACTGATGGCCCTATTATGGTCTCTGGGGTGCCAGGTTAGTCTGGTCCCTGAGGGCCCACATCGGCCTCTGAGCCTGGGGGCTCCATACAGGCCTTTGAGGGCCCTACACCGACCTCTGAGGGCCCCGAATCGGGCTCCTCTGAGGGACCCACACTAGCCTCTGATGAACCCACTCCGGCCGCTGGGGGCTCAAGATTGAACTTTGGGTGCCTCGCACTGGGCTCTGAGGGCCCACATTGACCTCCGAGAGCTCCACACTGGCCTGTAAGGGATCATATTGGGCTGGCCTCTGATGACCAACTGGTTTTGGAGGGCCAGTACTGGCCAGTGGCCACTCAGGGTCCCAAACCGGCATCTGATGGACCGAACCGGACCCTGGTGGCCCAAAACAGGCCTCAGAGCCCAGAGGGCCCGCACCAGACTCTGAGAGTCCCATCTTTAGTCTCTGGGGTCCAAGGAAGAACTTTTGGCGTTTCATGCCGTCCTCCAAGGTTCCCTGTCAGTCTCTGTTGGTCCCCATGTCGGAATTTCGGAATTTGAGGGCCGTTATCTCGTCGCAGCGGGCCGGCATTAAGGTCTATTACCATATCGGGATCACATCGGTTTCTGAGGGCCCATGTCTGCTGCCAAGGGTCCCTGGTCTCTGATAGTTCTATTTAGGTCTTTGAGAGCCCGGGCCTGCCCATCATAGGCGCCTCATGCTATCTTCTTATTCTCTGCCGATCTCGGAGGGCCCCTGTCGATCTGTTTGGCCCGTACAGGTTTTTAAGGGCCGCTGCTAGTCCCTGAGAGCCCCATGTCGTTAGTTGTGTCTATTTTGGGTCGCATTGGCACCACACATGTCTCTTAGGGCCCATACCAGTCAAGGGGTCCCACATTGACCTCTCAAGGACCAACGCTGGCCTCAAGGGCTCACACTTCCTCAGAGGTTCCGAACTGGCCTTTGACGACCCCGCACTGGCCTCTGATGACCCCGGGCCCGCACAGGCCTCTCATGGCTCAGGCAGGTCTCGGAAGACCCACGTTGGAGTTCAAAGACCCATACTGCTGTGCGAGGTCTCACCCGGTTTATGAGGGTCAATCTCAATACTGGCCTTAAATGATCTTACGCCGGGCTTATATAAGGGTCTCATACTGGTTTCAGAAGTTTTCCGCTACTTACGAAGCACTTCAGGGGGAGGGGGCAGATATTCGCCCCCTTCCGCGGTACGCGGGTTAAGCTAACACACCGCCCCCCAGCGAGGGTCTACACTCTACAGGGGCCCCTTTGCCAATTCGCCCCCCCCCCCCCCAAACGCCAAGTTTACGACCGTACCTGGTGGCGCCCACTTCCGGACTATTGCGCCCCTCGGAACCGCTTTGGGCGCCCTTTCAGGGCTGTGCAACCCCAATAAAAAACAAAAAAATCCACCCCTGGGCATCATCCTCTATTGACCATATGTATTGCGATATGGCGATATAGGTATGATCGCTTCTCTCCATAAGCATAAGAACTAAAACAGTATTTAGGCATCGGAAAAAAATCTGAGTAAGCAAAAGCCGAGGAACTTTAGGAAAATGTGTTAGTATTTGTGGCGCATGTGTCCCCAGCAGCGGAAGGCCTCCATTCCGCATCTGCCAGTGGCATGCACCTGACAGTTGCAGTTCGAACCTGCAGTGTCACTGCTCTGACTCCGGTGACGCAGGCTGCACAGCTGGCACAGCTGTGCAGCCTGTGCAGCCGTTTATCATCGTTTCGTGTCATGCAGCAGCACCCTGACTTCACGTCATCCTCAGACTGAGAAACGTTAGAGCAGAGGAAAATGACGAGCTCCTTAAAACGACCGTCTCGGTGTGTGCTAATTCAGTTTTATGTCAATGTCACTGGCGCTTTATTTTACGAAGCCTTCTAAATTCAGCATTTTCGACATATTTATATAGAAACCTGAGCCCTGAACAATGAACATGTGTAAAAACTCTCACTTGCCTGGCTGGATCTAAACGGAGCGTAGGTAGGTATTTGTTAATATCGGTTATGAATTCTATTGGCTATCACGCGCGGCTTAAAATTTGCTGTAGGTGAGTACAACTGAAGTCGCAGCACATAATGTGCTGTGGGTAATATCAGACGAAAGAAGGAAAATGAATAGCCCTCCCCTCCGCCCAAAACAAAAGAGTATGGAATGCCGGGTTCACACCGGATTCCGGACCGGCAAAATTCCGTCTGCCGGGCCGGAAAAATGGCCAATTCCGTGCCGGAAAATTGAAAACTGGTGTGAACCGGCAAATCTGGCAACTTCTTTTGACCGGTCCGGCAGGCCGGAGAGCCAGATTTTCCGGTCCGGCAAAAAGTTGAAATCATCTCAACTTTTGCCTTGCCGGATAGCCACCGTTTGTGATATGAAATTAAGGCACGAGGGAAATAATGTTATGTTTCAGCGCTACAGGACCAATTTAACCAACGGTGCCCTAATAGTCTCGCGATTTTTTACGAGAATATAAAATTCAAGCGTAAATTTGACGGCGTTTCATTTTTGTTTCAAAACATTTGCAACTCAAACGGAGTGATAGCTACATTTCTGTTTTTGTATTTCACATGACTCATGGCCTTTTCAAATTATAAATTAATTTCATTGGTTGGAAAATATCCATGACTTTATAATAAAAAAAAATATTATAAGGAAGCGGTGAAAAGGGCGAATTTGTGGAACAACATTGCGGACGCGCTAGTTGTAGAAGGAGCGGAGCCAGTATCTGCAGAAGAGATTATCAAGCGCTGGAGCCGGCCGCAGGACAGGTAGCACAATATACGTATTGATAACTTCCGTCGTCTACGAAGTGGAGCCAGCCAAGCATATTCTGAAATCTACATTCTACAAGACGCGCTGACAACACTTCTTTGTCCTCGATGCCCTTTTCACAAGCACATAGCAGCTCGGGAGGGTGGAGGCAGTTTTGCCATTCAATCGCAAGTAGAAGATTCAGGAAATACGATGGTACTGAATGCCAAGGATATTATCCCGCGCCCTGCTGGGGGTGGGGGGGGGGGGGATATTTGAACCCTCCCTGCGGTTTTTCGCGAACATCTCAAAAACGGCGGCTGTTTTTGGCACACCTTATCATGCATCTTTTCTGCACATGTAAAAATTGTAGACCAAGGTCACTTAAGGTCAGGTCACCAGGTCACTTCAAGTGACCTCCACCTCATACAAAGTTTCAACGTCTTACATATGCTACATCGAGCGACCGACCTCTTTGAAACTCTCAGCGATTGATAAGGGCAACAATATGTACACAATTTAAATAAATAATTATCTCGGAATTTTGATATCGGTGACCTAAGGTCAGGTCAATTTTGTGACCCCCCCCCCCATTATAAGTCGCTGGGAGAAAACTGATGCCAAGTTATGCGTTGGCTTGTTGTAAATCGTCGACATTCTACCTGAAAATCGGTGAAATTCGGCTTTTCATTACCTCTGGTGACCTGACCTTTGATTTGACCAAAAAAAAGTGACCGAATTAATTTCGTCATTAATTTTGACACTCTTTCGAACGCCGCCTTCCCCGTATCGCTACGTGGCCCAGGAGCCGAGTTAAAAGGGGGGATGTTAAACACCCCCACCAGCAAGGCGTGGAAATTTAGGACCCCCAGCGGGGCGCGGGTTATGGCAGTAGAGTTCAGTGAGAGTCAGATGACCGATTTTGAGACCCAGCCATCTACATCAGCAAGCGTAATATCAAGCTCGCCGTCTCTAATGCGCCCTGCCCAGCCCTCAATTCCTCTTTGTTCGCAAGTGTTTTTAAACCAACAACAGCCAAAGCGCGATTGAAATTTATTAGTGTCTTTTTGTCGATACCCAGCCCGCATGCTGTAAATGTTAAATTGTATTAATCTTGCTAATATACCTACCAGTGAAGTATGGATGATTTTCGGTTGGGTGGAACTGCATCAGGGACTTGTAAAGCCGTCACACAAGTATGTTCGATTTCAAAATAATTCGCGAGATTGCTTGGTACCTACTTATCGTACTTGATGGTTGATGATTATGACATTTCCGGCTCGACTTTCCGGTTTTCCGGTTCTAGCGACTTTTTTGACATCTAGCGACAATTTCAACATTTTGGTGCCGGCCCGGCAGACGGAATATTTCCGGACCGGAAAACCGGTGTGAACCCGGCTGAAGACAAAGAGGTTTGGAGAAGGTAGAGAGGCAGAAAGGGAGGTTGAAGCGAGAGCAAGTAAGAGGGTACGCAGGCAACGTATGAACGAGTAACAGAAAACATTCCACCGGCTCCCAACTGTGACAGCGTTTGGACCCTCAGGCGCTCACTTTTGGTCGGAGTCGGCGGTGCAGGAGGGGCCCGTGGACGTCATGGTCTCCCCCGACGTGGGTCGGCGGCTGAAGGAAGAGCTGACCCGCTCCGGGGCCTCCTACACCGTCAACATTGAGGACGTGCAGGTGAGCGGGGGTCGCGCAGATCGCATCCTACGACAGTGATCCACATATGTAGTTCTGCAATCAAAGAGGACGGAAAGCAGAAGACAGAAACAATTCAATTGAACTAGTGATCAATCGTTTTGTTTATCATGCAAACTCTCTCGTTTTATTTCTATTTATTTAGATTTCGTCTTGTGTTCTGAGTACGTCGGGCCTGGCTGGAGCAGCCCGAATGGAGTCTCCCCGGGGTGACCGTTAGCGCGGCTGCTTTATGTGTGTTCCGCTGTAGGGGCTGAGCCACGACAACGCATCTACTATGGTGACAATCGCATGACTGAAGTTCAATGATGTCTTGTCATATCATCGCCCATGACTCTTATATAGCCTCTTCATCACCTGTCCCCGTAGTGGTCTTATTGAGGCAGGCAGCCTCTGTGGGGTGCGGGCCAGATGTAACCTGCAGGAAGGTATCTGTAAGGCGGACGACTTATGTCAATTGTCATAAAAATTACAAGTTACCATATACAGCAATCTAATGCTATTATTGGGTAATATTGACATATTGACAATTGACGACGTTATGCCCAAATGAATTGGAAGTTGCATGTATTGTAGAGTCTACATGCGCCGTATCCGTCTACATTGGAGACGGATACGATAGCCAGCAGCTAGAAGAGAGATTCAAATATTTAGTATCCGCGGACATGAGAATAGCGGGTCTTATCGGAATTATGAATCGCGGGCCAGAGGCTGCCGATTCCCGGCTCTTGTCAGATCTAAAGGGACCGGTCCAGCAAAAGAAACGAGATGACATAGGTAACTCTACAGTTACCTATGTCGTGTACCACGTGTAGTGTCTATAACGTTTATAAACGTTATGTTACAAGAAACATTGACGAGCTTCGCCACTACCGCAGCTTGGTGACGGACCTCACAGTTCACACTAACGAACCTTGTTCGCTCCGCACTTGCCAAGCAGCAGGCGGACAAAGGTTAATTCAGTTCACTCGTCTTCACATATCGCACACAAACGGGTTTCAGTTGACAGTGGTTCTGGCTGGGAAACCCAACGCACCTCCAGCCGTCAGTGTAGTTACTCGGTGTCCGCGGCTGCTCGACTGCTATTGTTCCGGATTTACCACTCGATTCACAGGGAATACCTACGCAGCACTGCCGCTATTAGGCACAGGATGTCCGAGGCTAGCAAAGGCTAACAGTGCTACACAAGCTCATTGGTACAGTGCTTTTTTATTATTTTGGATGCGTGCTGTATGAAAGTTAACGGTTCATAACTCTCCTCAGTTCATGTGCTCTCAAATAGTTATTGAATGTATGTATGCATGTAGGCATACAACACATTTTTTATTTCTGTAATAGCATATAAATTGATTTGATTGATTTGATATACCTAAATTGATTGAGCATATAAATTGATTAAGCTGATTCATTCATTCAACCATTCAATTATGTGTCAATTGATTTCGAACGATAAAAAAAAATATTTGAAATCAGTCTCGTACGTGGGACCCATTTTTGATCCGCGCACACGCGTCGTTCCACTCTATTCTTGCGCTAATTGATACCTTCCAAAAACATTTGTCAGGAGCTCATGAGCTGACTCATAACGCTAAAACCGGAACAGCCACGGAGGCCGATGTGTAAACATGCGACTCCGGTGGCCACTGAATGGATGACATACTTGTTTACTGCTAAAAGTGCCCGGCCGCAACACGAACATGCCTGGCAATTGTGGCAGCTTCCTCGATTCCTTGCCCGAATGCGAATGTTTCCGTGTCTGGCCAAGCATAGGCGATCGTTTTGTAAGTACCTCTAGCCGGATGCTGTCACCGGTGTGGGCTGAAAAACTGAGCTGCTGGACCGTTGGCCGTCGGCGGCTCTGCACCGTCGCGTACCCGGCGGGCTGGCGGCCACCTGGGGAGCGTAAATCCCGGCCCGTCGGCCCGCCGCAGTCAGGCCGACAAACAGCCACTGACGGGCTCAGTGTCACAGGCGCCGGCAAAAGTTCCCGGCGCCTCACCGGATTTGCCGACTGTTTTTACCCGCGCTGGGTATCTCCGTAACTCACTTTCAGTGATATTACACATTTTAGCAGACTGCTTCGTTCTTTTGGTGCGTTGTAGCTCTCGCCGAACCTAACGGCTTGCTATATACCGAGAGGACACGACCCCCTCCTGCCGTTTTGTCCCTAAATGACTAGACCTTCGCAAAGAAAAACATGTGAGCTGTTGCGAGACGCAGCGATTGGTACCTAATCTTCAGGTCCAGGTCAACCGGTGACCTCTGAGATTGGGTCAATGATTCGAAAGTCGGGGTCCGTTTTTGATAAATAACTTCGCCAATTATAGGCTCCGATTCACAATTTTTGCACTTTATATCGTGCTGCTCTCCCGCGTCGAATGAAGTGCTTGATGTCGATGAAAGGTCAAACTTGGTGATGACATCAGGCACAGACTTCTCTATATATGGACTGTGCGCTGATTTGGGAAATCAGCATTGGAGGCCCAAATTTCTGAAGCCGTAATATGAACCCATATGTTGTAAGTTGTAACACAATACCCTTTTATTGTTTCCTGTCGACAGGCTGAATTTTATGTAATATATTTTGTTTTTGTACTATCTATTGCTCGTAGCTCAGAATAAGAAAGGCTTCTGGTCGATATGAATCTGTATTGGAACATCATTTCACGTTCATCGACACCCATTGATGTCCTCATGTCAAGTTCATCTCACATTGCACCAGTGGGCTTGAAAAATGGCGTTAGTCCATTTTCACCGCGGGATCCAGCGAGAAAGGGTGGCTATCATCCCTTTCTTCTTCCCCCGTGTGCTGGATTGTTCACATCTCTGACATGGCTGGCTACAAACTCGCGCGACAGTGCACCGACAGCGCTGGTGGTAAAGGTTGGCGGTAATGCCGATGAAAATGTGTGTCTGCTGCAACGGTGTCTTCACTGTTCTTCTCTGCTACCCACTTTTTCGCACCACGCATCTACACATAGTCGCACTTTCACACATTCGCACATGCGCATCACCAATTGCAACGTATCCCTCCGTCTGCTCGTTTTCCACTCGCTGCTGACTGATAAGGCGATAGCTCTTGTGACGGTCGTTCCCATCACGTTGTCATGCTGTAGCTATTGTTGCTTTTATTGTGTCCCTTCGTCCCATGGAGACGTAGCCGAGCAGCTCTGAAGGGACCTGTGGGCGACCCCCAGGGCCACCACGATGCTGCCGCTCCGCACCTCCTCCATGTTGGGGTTGATGGTCGCCATCAGGCGATGTCGGGTGCCCATCAGAGCCGGGCACCGCAGGAGGACATGCTTGGACTGTCCGCCTCCTCTCAGCAGACGGGTAGAGTGCGGCTCTGCATTGTCGGTCGTCGCACTGGTTGCACCCCGACAGCCAGGAGGGCGCCAACCCGACTCTGTGGCGCCATTGGGAGGAGCTTGTCCAGTGGCCGGCGCGGAGCTGGTGGATGTCCACCGCCGCTGGCCGGTCGCCGCCGGCAACGGTAGGCGGGAGTCGATCCCCGTCAGCTGGTGGAACCAGCCGGCTGGCCAGGCCCCGACGGTGCGAGCCCTCGCCACTCTGGCGGCGGCCCAGTGGGCCTTCTGGACGTCTATAAGGATTTGTTTTTAGTCGAGTATGTTTGCCTTCTTGGCGATGGTGTCGGCCCTCTCATTGCCCTGCAACCTGCATTGTGAGGGCACCCACTGTAGGTAGACCGACAGGCCTCCAGCTGTCAGTCCCCAGAGGGCTCTCCAGATGTCCACTCCGAGCGAGGAGTGCTGGGCGGCCCAGCCACCTCGGATGGCGGCGAGGGCGGACTGCGAGTCGGTGCAGGCTACGATGGTGTCTTCGGCGTGCGGCGGGTTCTCCAGCAGCTAGGAGAGAGCAGCTCGGAGGGCGACCACCTCAGCTCGGAAGCTGGAGCACAGGTAACCTGCCGGGGCGCGGATCGAGTGCTCTTCCCCGTTCGGCCAAACGATTAGTGCCCCCGGCGCCTCCGTCATATTCTGTAGCTCGTTAGTTACAGTATGCTCTTCGCCCTTGGCACATTTCTTGGCTTCTCCATCAAAAATGTCCACAGCTGGCCTAGAAATGGTGACCTGCCAGTTTCCTGAGATATCCAAAGTAGAAGTTCCTGTAATAACAGGCCACCACCGGCACAGATGTTTGTCCCAGCTACTTATACTCCAATCAGTCCTATGCATCTTGTTTCTGCTCCACCGCTATTTTTCCGTCCGTTCTTCGCAGACTGGCGTATTCTTGAGCTTCCCGATCCCGATGCAAGTTTTACGGTAACATTTAAGAGCGGCAACCTTCATCGTTTAACATTGATGCGAAGGGTACGAATTCCATCATTTCATCGAGCATTCTTCCGAGATGATTTGATCCAGACCATAATGAACTACAACCCCATACGACACACTGGATAAACTTCATTGTTTGATTGAATAAGCTTACTTCTTTTGGATGTAGTGGCGTATCACTGCCATGGGTATGGCATTATTTAGCGCGGCGTAGCTTCGAACTGCGATGGCGAGTTGTTCTTTTCACATTAACTGCTGGTCAAGTTAAGTCTTTGTAGCTCCTTTCAGTGAGTCTTTTTTTCTCCAGAATAAATTAAGGCACTAGGCATTATAGGAAGTATGCTGAGACTGGCGCCGTCGATAGTGTCCTGTTTTTCTTCTTGCTGTGTGAGTCTCACAGGAGTCAGTGTTTGCAAAAGTAAACTTGCAAATCTGATTGTCCTCAGCGTTATCTCTTATCTCGATTGATGGTTTCGTCTGTGAACATTTTTTCCTTTTAGTTATACGGGAGGCTAAAAAGTTGCCTTTTTGCTAGAAATTATGTTTCGTAATCGTTTCACATTTTTCTTGCCCTGACTCTGGCTTGATACCCGGAATGACATCTTCGCACCACACGTTTTCTGATCCGGTCGTGATGAGGTAGTGATCGATAATATTCTTTCCTTTTTTGACCATTTTTTCGAGCTATTTCTTACTTATTTTTACTGCTTCTTGTGGCCCTATATAATGTATCGTTATTTCTCAAAACCCTTTTCAAAACCAACGTAAATGACTATAGTTCGTTTTTCTTAAGTTTGCCCCTCACTGTAAACGTCTTTTTGAACACAGCACGAGAATTGCTAGCTGAATTACTGAGAAAACTGGTTGGCGCACATTGATTTCACCAGATTTCACAGACGATCAATTTCATCAAATTTATTTACTTTTTCACAGACTCGTAGCTCGCATTTGCCAATACCTACAGCCCCACAGGGATAGACGACTTCTCATCAATTATGTCTGAACTAATAAATAAATTGCACGGCGCTTAACATAACGTTAAATCGTCGGTGTTCAAAACTTATTTTGATAATATTATTCATATCTACAATACAATGTGCGCTAACCAGTTTTCTCAGTAATTCAGCTAGCAATTCTCGTGCTGTGTTCAAAAAGACGTTTACAGTGAGGGGCAAACTTAAGAAAAACGAACTATAGTTCCGACAAATTAGCAACGACAACCAACAATGCAACCAACATTCAAAAGCAAGAAAATGCGCGCAAAGTACGGCTGCATTTGTGAAGTATATACCTCCAGCGTGAACAAATGGCTAACTGAACGAGAAAACATGTTCTCATTTATATACATTTATTTCTTATTTATTTTGAATTCAACAAAAAAATGTACTCCGACAGGTAGATAAAAGTATGGGCTATCCTATATCCAAATTTATAAATATTCTGACACCCTTTTCATTGTAAAAAGATGGATAAAAGTGCACTTATTTTTGGGCCTCCAATGCTGATTTCCTCGGATCAGCGCACAGTCCATATATAGAGAAGTCTGTGCATCAGGTCAAGGTCAGGGCATAGGCGTTCTGGTCAAGGAGCTGGTGGAGCTAATCAGTAATCACTTTGGGATATATGCTGCTGTCTCCGAAGTCACGCATGCTTATGCCTTCAATGAAGCCTTTATCCTCACACTGACATCCCCGTCCGTGCTGCACCCACAGGAGGCGATAAAGCGGGAGAACCCGTCCGATCTCCTTCAGCCGCGGCTGCAGGTGCGGCAGAGCCTCCAGCAGGGTCACCCGCTGACCTGGAGGAAGTACCACCGGCTGGCTGACCACCACCAGTACCTGGACTTTGTCGCGCTCCGGTATGGCGACCTCTGCGAGACGTTCAGCATCGGCACCAGCACCGAGGGACGAGACATCAGGGGCGTCAAGTGCGGCCGAGGAAAGCGGGAAATCTGGATCGATGGAGGTAGGCCAAGGGTAGTCTCGGGGCGGCTGGATGACGGCGGGGCTAATTTTCTGAAAGTCTAAGCCATTTTCATGGCCATTTCGGGTTGTGATTGCGCCCATAATTACTAACACATCACTGTTATTGCGAACAAAAAAGAAAAAAAACTAAAAAAAGCACACAGTTTATTTTGTGACTTCTCTGGCCGTTCCAGAAAACAGACGGAACCAGAGGATTCACATGATAATATATTTTATAATATACCTAGTAACTTATGACCACGTTCTCCTCCGTCCCGTTTCAGGTATCCACGCGCGGGAGTGGATCTCGCCGGCGGTCGTGTCGTACTTGATCCGCGAGTTCTCCGAGCGGTCGACCACCTCTAACGACATCCTGTCCAACTTCACGCTCTACATCATCCCGGTGCTCAACCCCGACGGCTACGAGTACAGTCACACCCGTGAGTAAGGCGACGGGAAGGCGAGCCAGTATAAGACGCGGCTCGGTAGTTGCACTTTGCATTTTAGATAGGCCGCACCGAAAGGCTAATACATTTAAATGAAATTAAAAAGACCGCACCTGTGTGTTAAAATCAACTTTATAGTTTGTGCAAACATATGAATGAATGCAAACAATGCTTTGAAGTTTTTGCGGTCGCACCCATTTCTATGGTGACTAACAAACAGTAGTACCTACAGGTGGCGGCTATAGGTAGGTACTCACAGGTGACGGCTGTGTTGTCAATTGTCATGTGGTGTGCCAATGGTCAACGCCTATTTTAGCTTTACGGCCATATCTTGCGAAGGAGGGAAGTGCTGCAGAATAGGGCGATGTGCACATATTGACAAACTCATTTTTATCGGTATCGGCAGATGACCGTATGTGGCGTAAGACGCGCTCGAAAAACGCCGATTCTACCTGCATCGGCGTCGATGCCAATAGGAATTTCGACATTAGCTGGGGAAAGGTAAGCCGTATACCGCTATCTGCGGGTAGCAAACCACCGGTGACTATACTATACATACAAGTAAGCTGTTCTGAAACAGCCGAACGTAACTTATGGACATTCGTTAGGCGTTATCTGTGTTATGTTACTGTGCATGGTATTTGGCCAGAAACTAAAACATTCCTTGGTCGATAAAAACTTTTGACCAGTCGAGTTCTAGTTCATTTGTCGCATACACTCAACTATAGCAAACTTGTTGGCGGTTTTGCTGAACTATGAACCCAATGTGAAGTGCTCTTCAAAGGAAACTCGGAGCGATAGCTGCTACGAGAAGAGACTCATGTCATCCTCTATAATACGATCGCGTAGATTGGTAACACTGTTACTCATGATAAGGTATAGTGCAAGGCTATTCTTCGTCTGAGTAGGCTAATATTCGTGAAGTTAGGAGAGCTTTATTTGTTTCTGATAGGTATTCTTTATTTATTCACCGGCATCTGTATCTTTTCGGAGTGTGTTCCCGTTTCGCTAGGCGTTATCATTATGTAACGGTACTACGAGTATCTACCGCTCACTTAGCCCGATATTCTCCTCGAGCGTCAAAACTATGTATTTATCCCATGCTGAATTGATCAATAATTATGCTGGTATCGATTTATAAGGATTTCCTTTTTTCTAAATTCACAGTATTGACCTTTTCTCTTGGCGATGCCTCTAAGGTCTGACTTTTGCTCTCCGTTTGTCCTCAGTGTGAGACCTTTAGCAATGTTTTTGTATGTCCTCAGAGCAGACATTCTTCTTATCAAGGCATGGCCTCTATATCTGACCTTTGACCACCATTTGCTCTCAGAATAAAATTTGTTACCTCCAGCACATCTAACCTGCTAGAGCGGGACCGCTGATCTCTGACTTCGGAGCGAGACCTCTGACCTCTGTATGCCCTCAGAACGGTACCTCTGACCTATGATATCTGTAATTTGTTAAACTGTATGCGCTCAAAGCGACATCCCTGACCGCTGACCCAAGAGCGGACTTCGGTCATCAAACTAAGTGACCTATCTTTGACATCTGCCCCCTCTCTGCCCTCAGAGTGGCACCTCCCAGGAGCCGTGCGCGGTCACTTACGGAGGGCCGCACCCGTTCTCTGAGCCGGAGACGCGGGCCATCCGCGACTTTGTGCTGGCACACAAGGATAAACTGGAGATGTTTATCACTCTCCACAGGTGGGGCGAGGGTGGGCGGATACAGTCAGCGATCTCATCAGGAAACGATTAGTAGCCGGCATCATAATTAGTTATCTACACAGTTCATCGCTGTGTGCAGTAACTTCAGCAAACATGATTGATGACACTTCTTTGCTAATTGAGGCTTGAACGCTGACTTGTTCTTTAGCTTGATGAGTGCAAAATATCATGGTAGTTACAACCCTATGAATAAAACACACCACATATAAAACCGTCCTCTCGACCCAATAACATGCAGAACCAAAAAAGGATATCATTTCTGGTAACACATAGCCAGTATTATTCAACTGTTCACGTGCGTCCAGCTTATTTTCCGTTGTTTTTTTTTATATAACATTTCCGATGCATCTAATTTTTTAGGAACACTGCTAAGTGCTATTTAGCAGATCTTAATACATTATCCGTCACTGGTCAGTCTGACCTTGGGCAACACTAAGAGCATATATCCCCACTGATCTGAGCTCTCCCCTCTCCTCACTGGCCGGCAGCTACTCGGAGCTGCTGTTTGTGCCGTACGCCTTCACGATACAGAAGCCGGACGACTATGACGAGGTGCGGGCGGTGGCCGAGCGCGGGGTGGCCGCCCTGCGCGCAGCCTCCGGACGCGAGTTCAGCATCCCGCGCACCACCCCGTACAACCAGCTGTCCGGCGTGTCCGACGACTGGGCCAAGGCGGTGGCCGGCGTGCGCTTCACCTACACGTTCGAGCTGCGCGACAAGGGCGCGCACGGCTTCCTGCTGCCGGCCGAGCAGATCGAGCCCAGCGGCCGCGAGATCGCCGCCGCCATCAAGGCCATGATCCGTGCGCTGCCGGCGCCACAGCGCCAGTCCGGGGATGTGGCAGAGCACCGGGAGGCCGCCGCGCCGGCCGCCGGGAAACGGGCTGCCGGCAGGCGGTTCTACTGACAACTAAAGAGGGAGGGGGGCTTTCTGCTGGGCCGGGAGAGAGGCTTCCGACTGGGCCGGCGGAGAGGCGGTGTCTGGGTCAGGAGGACGACGTTCTACTGGGCGGGGAGGTAGGCATTCTACTGAGCCGAGAGAGAGTCATTCCACTGAGCCGGGAGGGAGCCGGGAGGGAGTCAGGAGGTAGGCGGCGGGTCGGGCCGGGAGGGAGGCGGTGGCTGAAACCGGCCGGAGAACCGTGAACCGGCCGGGGAACCGTGTTACGCGCGATGATAGGATCGGCGGCAGTGTAGCTCCGGCCGATAACCGAGCCGATAACCGGCCGATAACCGAGCCGAGAAATGGGTCACAAATGCGAGTGGGTCTTCAGGTCACCGGTCCTACATGGAGTGACGGGTCCATTGTTGATCTGTCCAGCCTACATACCGGGCTGCTGTAAATGCACGCATGTTGCGTGCATTCATGCAGACACGATATGCATTTTAGATTAGCTGAACGTTTTGAATCGCTTGTTTTTGTGATCCTACAGCTACAATTATTGCATGTGTATGGGATGCATTCATTAGACGCTAGCGTAACTACAGGTAGAATTGCCTGAATCGTATGGTGACATCACCAATCGCTGGTGAATGGCATTGTAACAGTGTATTAACTTTACTTCCAGCACAGTCGAGGGTGCAAATAAACAATTTGAGTTGAGTGTATGTAATAGTTTATCTGATTAGGTTTGAAGCTAATCATGCTATTTTAGGCGTTTTGAGCGTGATAACTGTAACTGCGAAAGGGTTCCTACCCAGCCAAATTAAACACAGTACTTAACAAATAAACGGTCGAGTACAAAACTGAAATTTGTTTCGTATGCATAAAAATCTGCGTAATGCTGCTCAAGCGAGGCCTTACAAAGTGCATCACAGCCTGGACTACGATGTGTCTGCTTTGTTGTGTTGGGTTAGGCTCTTTTGGTCTGACAAGACCATTTCAGAGCCGGAAGGATGCTAGGAATTTGGGGGAGACATTGGTCTGGGCAAACACCCTAGAGAGTCGCCGGGGCTGAGCCCGTCCGAATGGACAGGCCGACCAGCCCCCCAAGCACTCTGCACCCGACTACGGAGTGCGCTCCCTCGGGAGCAGCGTTGCCGCTCCAAAGGAGCAGCCCGCATGAGATGAAGGTGCCTGTCCAGCCCGGAGCGGGGTTGCGGAGTGGAGGAGTTTAGTATCCTGAGGATAGAAATGACGGAACGGAGAGATGTGTCTGCTTTACGGGTGCCTATTTGGAGACCTAGATATCCATTCTCAGCCCCGTAACTATAGGACAGTTGCACCCACGAATCAACCACTTACCATACCTTAAAGTTATGTACTTACATACCAACAGTGGCGGGGCACACTTAAAACGGTCGAAAACTCGAAACCAGAGACCACAGGGCCTCGGCTAACATGTTAACTAGTGGGCCAAATGCCCCACCAGTGACCCGAAATGGCCCACCAGCCTCAAAGATTTGGCCCACCAGTAATTTTCCGAAAAATCGAAGTTTTCACATTTTCACTTTTCAAATTGAAATAGCAGATCTTATCGTACATTTTCAGGCTGTAAAGTACCCATCGGTGAAACATATTCTTGTGAAAAAACTTCAATCTATTGTTTGCAATATCCTCTTGAGTGGACTATAGTACCCACAACTTTAAAAAAAAAAATCCACCACCTACGTCTTTGCTGTATGATTTTTACTTCGATTTCCATGTGACGTCACAGTACTTCCATGTCCAGTGGTGTCCGGTGTGCTCAACCGGACACCACCGGATATGGAACGGATATTAACGGATGACAAACGGACGTCCAACGGAAACAAACGGACATCCAGGGGTGGATTTTTTTGTTTTTTATTGGGGTTGCACAGCCCTGAAAGGGCGCCCAAAGCGGTTCCGAGGGGCGCAATAGTCCGAAAGTGGGCGCCACCAGGTACGGTCGTAAACTTGGCGTTGGGGGGGGGCGAATTGGCAAAGGGGCCCCTGTAGACCCTCGCTGGGGGGCGGTGTGTTAGCTTAACCAGCGTACCGCGGAGGGGGGGGGGCGAATATCCGCCCCCCTCCCCCTGAAGTTTTTCGTAAGTAGCGGAAAACTTCTGAAACCAGTATGAGACCCTTATATAAGCCCGGCGTAAGATCATTTAAGGCCAGTATTGAGGTTGACCCTCATAAACCGGGTGAGACCTCGCACAGCAGTATGGGTCTTTGAACTCCAAAGTGGGTCTTACGAGACCTGCCTGAGCCATCAGAGGCCAGTGCGGGCCCGGGGTCATCGAAGGCCAGTGCGGGGTTGTCAAAGGCCAGTTCGGAACCTCTGAGGTGGTGTGAGCCCTTGAGGCCAGCGTTGGTCCTTGAGAGGTCAATGTGGGACCCCTTGACTGGTATGGGCCCTAAGAGACATGTGTGGTGCCAATGCGACCCAAAATACACAGACAGGCACAACTAACGACATGGGGGCTCTCAGAGACTAGCAGCGGCCCTTAAAAACCTGCACGGGCCAAACAGATCGACAGGGGCCCTCCGAGATCCGCAGAGAATAAGAAGATAGCATGAGGCGCCTATGATGGACACTGGGCAGGCCCGGGGTCTCAAAGACCTAAATGGAACTATCAGAGACCAGGGACCCTTGGCAGCAGACATGGGCCCTCAGAAACCGATGTGACCCCGATATGGTAATAGACTTTAATGCCGGCCCGCTGCGACGAGATAACGCCCTCAAATTCCGAAATTCCGACATGGGGACCAACAGAGACTGACAGGGAACCTTGGAGGACGGCATGAAACGCCAAAAGTTCTTCCTTGGACCCCAGAGACTAAAGATGGGACTCTCAGAGTCTGGTGCGGGGCCCTCTGAGGCCTGTTTTGGGACACCAGGGTCCGGTTCGGTCCATCAGATGCCGGTTATGGCTCTCAAAAGCCGGTTTGGGACCCTGAGTGGCCACTGGCCAGTACTGGCCCTCCAAAACCAGTTGGTCATCAGAGGCCAGCCCAATATGATCCCTTACAGGCCAGTGTGGAGCACTCGGAGGTCAATGTGGGCCCTCAGAGCCCAGTGCGAGGCACCCAAAGTTCAATCTTGAGCCCCCAGCGACCGGAGTGGGTTCATCAGAGGCTAGTGTGGGTCCCTCAGAGGAGCCCGATTCGGGGCCCTCAGAGGTCGGTGTAGGGCCCTCAAAGGCCAGTATTGGCCCTCAAAGGCCTGTATGGGCCCCCAGGCTCAGAGGCCGATGTGGGTCCTCAGGGACCAGACTAACCTGGCACGCCAGAGACCATAATAGGGCCATCAGTGGCGGTGTAGAGACCCCATAGACCGGCTGGGGCCCATTGAGGCCAGTTTGGGGCCCTCAAAGTCCAGTGTGGGGCCTGTGATAAGCGACAGTAGGGCTCCCGCTTGCATTGTGTCTCGAACAAGACTGGTCCACATTCCAACCGCGCCCGCTGACCCCAGCCGTCGGCCCATGCGCCGGCGGGCAAGTCATCGCAGAGGCGGCTCCAGGGAAATCGAGGAGCACACTACCACCGGGCCCCTAAAGACCGTCATGGGTCCTCAGAGGCCAGCATAGAGCCTTCAGAAGCCAGTACGGGGCCCTCAGAGGCACCCAAGGGACAAGGGCCAGCCTTGGGTGTCAGTGACAGAAATGGGGCTATCAGCAGCCGGCGTGAGACATTTAGAGGCCGGTTTGGGGCCCTCAGAGGCCAGTTTGGGACCCTTAAAAGCCAGTTTAGGGCCCTCTGGGCTCTGAGACCAGTACAGGGCCTTCAAATGTCAGTTTGGAACCATTAGAGGCCGACGTGGGTCCTCAGAGGCCAGTGTGATTTCTACAGCCCAACATGGAGCCCTCAGAGGTCAGTATGGGGCCCTAAAAGACCGGACAGAGCGCCCTCAAAAGCCAGGATGGGCCCTCAGAGGCCAATGTTGGTCCTAAGAGACCGGCATCGGGCCTTCAGAAGCCAGTACGGGCCCTCAGAAGTGCCCAAGGGTTAGTGTTTGTCCGCCAGAGACAGAAATTGGGCCATCCGAAGCCACGGTGTTGGGCCCTAGGAGGCCAGTTTGGGCCGTCAGAGACCAGTTTGGACCCTCAAAAGACCAGCGTGGGTCCGTACCGGCAGTGTGAGGCCCTCAGAGACCAGTACAGAGCCTTCAAAGGGCAGTTTGGAACCATCAGAGGCCGACGTGGGCCCTCACATGCCGGTGTGGTATCTTACAGGCCAGCGTGGAGCCCTCAGAGGTCAGTGTGGGGCCCTAAAAGACCAGCATGGGTCGGTGTTGGACCCCAGAGGTCAGCATAGGGCCCTCAAAGGCCGATGTGGACCCTTAGAGACCGACATCGGGCCTTCAGAAGTCAGTACGGGCCCTCGGGGACACCCAAAGGCCAGTCTTGGGGGCTCCCCCAAAAAATGAGGCCATTAGAGGCGTGGACCCCCAGAGACCAGTTTGGGAGCCCTCGAGACCAGTACAGAGTCCTCATAGGCCGGTTGGGGGACTCCTGATGCCGCTTTAGGGCCCTCAAGGGCCAGTGGAGGGCCCTGGGAGGTCGATGTGGGCCCTCATCGGTCGATGTGGGCCCTCATCGGTCGATGTGGGCCCTCATCGGTCAAGGTGGGTCCTTGAAGGCCACTGAAGCGCCCTCAGAAGTCAGGATACTCAAAGACCGGTATGAGGGCTGTTACATGATACCTGGCGTTGGTTTCTTGAGCCTCGTGACAATCGGGTAAGAGCCAGGGCCCCTACGCCCATCGGGGCCATCGGTTGTTTAAGGGGGCAAATTATATGATGGCCCCTGATTTGTCTTTGGGGGGCCATGGCCCTGATGCCCCCTGCGACCTCCACTGGGCACCATCCCCACCCCCCACTGAGCGGTGAGCGGCGCACCAGGAATCGAAATCCACGATTTTTTTAACTGGTCATTTTTGCATGTCCGACAGCTCTATACGGCCTTGTGACAGCTCAAGCTCTTGAGAGGAGGGTAGTACCTACATTAGAGGGGGCGGCGATGGCATTTGCACTTGAGGCGGCAGCGCCTACACTTAGAGGGGGCGGCACCTACATTTTATGGGCAGCACCCTAACTTCCGGGGCGGCACCCACGCATGGGGGGGGGGGCGGCATCTATCTACATGTGAGGGAAAGGCACCTTCATTTCAAGGGGTGGCACCTAGACTTAGGGGGTGGCACCTACATTTGAGGGGGCTGCACTGCAACTAGGCCTTAGGGGGCGGCAACTACACCCTAGGGGGTGCCATCTACATTCGAAGGGACGGCACCTACATTTTATGAAATGACCGATGACACCTATGCATAACGTGGCCGGGGCCAACATTTGAGGGGGCGGCGCGGCACCTTCATTCGAGGGGGCGGCACCTGCATTCGAGGAGGGCCGGCACCTACATTCGAGGGGGCAGCACTAACATTTGAGGGGGCGGCACTTGCATTCGAGGAGGGCCGGCACCTACATTCGAGGGGGCGGCACTAACATTTGAGGGGGCGGAACCTACATTCGAGGAGGGCCGGCATCTACATTCGAGGGGGCGGCACTAACATTTGAGGGGGCGGCACCTACATTCGAGGAGGGCCGGCATCTATATTCGAGGGGGCGGCACTATTTGAGGGGGTGGCACCTACATTCGAGGGGCGGCATTTAGGTACATTTGAGGGGGGCGGCATCAACATTCG